TTTATCTGCCGGGAGAATAGGAAAATTTTTTATGTAACACCAAATTAAAAAAACAAAAACATGCACTCTTAAAATCGTATGCCCATATGTGAAATATAATCACTTTTTTTGGTTTCCACAAAATTTAGGGAGTGAACACCAAAATGTAATCCCATCTAAAAAAAAATAAACAAAAATTTGTCCCATAAATAACATGGTAAACAACTCAAATGGCTTTCTTTTAATGCTAGGAAAACTGTCCACCTTTCAACGGTGACAGTGCTGTTAACACAGGTAAGATCAAACAAGGTAAAAAGTGAAAGCACATACAGATGATGCACACAAATATATATAAAAATTGACCAGAAATCACAGGACATGTAAGCAATGCTTTCTTAAGCAGAACTTTTTTTTGTACTTTAAACAGAATAAAGTATTTGGTGTAGGTGGGGAAAAGACATAAGTATTCAACAATTTTAACTGAACCAGCTGTAATACAGCCTCAGCTCATTGTTTAATAGAAATAAAAAAGGAACTACATCGTATTTTTGACAGTCATAGAATGAAAGCTTACAAAGAGCACATTTAATATCTCCATCACAGTGCACCAAGGATGCAGCCACTGAGGACTACCAGAGAGAAACAACAACAGGGTCTGCATCCATCATATTGCATTACAAAGTTAATCCCATCAGAGGAAAAAAAAAATCTCACCTTACGTGCTCAGTGTTCCAGCTGGTAAGCACCTTATAGGAAGGAGGCTATAAGAATTGAAAGCAACTGCTCAGTCTGCATCAGGACACTCGTGATTCCTTCACTTGCCATTGGCTGATGCACTTAGTCATTTCAACACAACATTCACTGAAAAATGTAACAACACATTCTAGCTTCTTGAGCAGGACAGACTGGGAAATGCAGAAGAGGCCAGAGCATCAAAGGCCATGTATTTCCTCACAAGAAAAGAAATCCACAACCACAATTGGTTTCCTTTTACTATGAAAAATCTAAATTTCAGATGAAGTTTAACCATGTAAGGACACATGATTTGTACTTACATATACACATAGGTTCAGAAGAACTTAGCTATCTAGTTGGCCCCTTCTGTTCCATTAAAACATTTATCTTTGCTGGATCACTGTGTGAGAGTCTCACCACCATGCTGGTACCTTCAGCTACCACTTGTGTTATAAACCTCATGTTCTATTCACAGTAGTAAGTGACTAGAGGACACATATCCCAGTATCAGAAATGTTGACAGCCATGGTGCAGCTGAGTTGAGAAGCAACTATGACAACGTAAGGAAGTGAGGGTAAATCACAAGAACACCTAAGGTGGTCAGCTCCTTCTGGTGTGCCTGGGACTTGCTTGGGGTTAGTACTGAAAAGTCCCACATCCAGGGAAACCCTCAGTCCCAGGCAACACTAGGGCAACTGGTCACCCTGAGAACACTACACTCCTTCCTTAATATCACTAGAGAAAAGGTAAGAATTTTCAAGAGCATAAAGCTACCTTTAACGGCTTCAGTCCCCAAGATATCACTAGCTAATGGCTAGTTCCTCCAAGCTTGCTAAAAGGCGAGGAAGTCCAGAAAAACCTTATTTAAAGGTGTTAACATTAAGAACAGTTGGTAGTAATCAAGCAAATTAGTGAGCAGTGTATAAAAGCTCACTGTTGAAACCTGTTTTCAGACAAATCTTCTAAAGATTATTCTAGCTTTGTCCAGTTGTATGGTATTTTACTGTATTCTCTTTTTGCAATTAATCCAGTTCTATAAGCCCTGTCTTTTTTTTTAGGTGAAAATATTCTATGCCAACTGTTTTCCACCATCTTGCATCATACTAAAACAAAGACTGGCTGGGTGTGGCAGCTCACGCCTGTAATCCCAGTACTTTGGGAGGCTGAGGCAGGCGGATCACCTGAGGTCAGGAGTTTGAGACCAGCCTGACCAACATGGTGAAACCCTGTCTCTACTAAAAAAAAAAAATACAAAATTAGCCAGGTGTGGTGACTCATGCCTGTAATCCCAACTACTCAGAAGATTGAGACAAGAGAACTGCTTGAACCTGTGAGGTGGACATTGCAGTGAGCCAAGATCACACCACTGCACTCCAGTCTGGGCAACAAGAGTAGAACTTCTTCTCAAAAAAAAAACAAAAACAAAAACAAACAAACAAAAAAAGAACTGCCAGCTGGAGAGACAGCCCTCTGATAACAAAGGCCCAGAATGTTACTTTTAAATGCTCTCCACCAGGAGGTCTGGCCTTGGGAAAAGACGGCAAAAGGAATATTCTCAGATAGGAACATTTTTATTCTGCCCACCATGCTGTGATCTAATTCAACAACTGTAGAACTGTTTTCATCTTAATCTGTGTAGTTTTTCTTTCTTTACTCTTTTGTATAAAATGGTTAGTGTCACATCTTCACTATCACTAATAAAAAGATACAAATATGCCTTTAAAGTCAGGGTTGGAAAAGAAAGAATGAGGCATGAGGTAAAACTGGTCTAAGAAAGTACCAATTTGAGTTCTGCGTTTTGTCAAAAAGCTGAGTTTTTTTTTTTTTAAATTCAAAACTCAGCCATGTTACCTGTTATGTGTAAAGTATTTTTCACAATTTTAATTAATCTGTGTGTATATTAGTTGTATAAAGCAACAGATTTCCAATCGTAAAGCAGGAACCTATTCACCAGAAAAGGACCCTATTGTTTCTCACCAAAATTTTTTTTTTCAGCTTGAACAATCCAAGATTAGGAATAATAAGAGTGGCAAACAAATATTTTCTTAGGGACTTAAAAAAGAACAACCTTACTGGAAGAACAGACTTAGTAAGATTTCTATTGCTACAGACAAATGCTGAAAACCAACTTTATAATAACAGCATTATAAAGGGTAGAACTTAATATAGAACCAGAAATATGGCAAGTTACCTACTAACATTATAAAATAGTCAAAAACTTTAAAGCTACAGAGAAAACAGAACAATTATGAAATGGAAAATATATAATATTTAAGTATTTTTAAAATTCTAAAACTTCACTTTTGTCCTTAAATCAATATATTATAAATTTCATTGTTCAATAAATTACCATCTTTAATTAAAAATAAGAAGTAAATCAAAGAGCATATTTTGGAGAAACTAACAGCTCTTACTTTTTTGGAGGGTAAAAGAATGATATTTTTCTTGAACATTTTTGAAGAACATCTAAAAGCCTGTATATTGAGTTAGTAACTTTCTGATCCCCATCATTAGTGGCATTCTTCTTCAAAGAGACTCTTACATCTAAGCAATGGTGAAGTTCTGGGTCCATTATGGATCTCATGGCAGCAAACCAACTGACACTGAAGTGAATATACTCCAGTGAGATCACCTGTGGGTCAAGGATGGCCCAGAGAATCTTGGAAAATCCATTTATGTTGAGCAAAGATAAAGTCAGAGCTGAACCACCTTCAATCAGGCTGTCAGATACAGGAAAATCTGACCTTGCAAGTAGTACTTCCCAGGGCAACTTAAGCAGCAACCTTACACCAGGGGAGAATTAAAGAGGAAGCAATCTAATATTATCAACAACAACAAAATTAACTGTAAGTTAGTACATCCCAGAGTCTGCTGAATGTAGAATAATTTAGTAAAGGGGTTTATGACAGAGCATTTTTTGATGTTAATGAATTTTAGCTGTGAGTCTTAGTTACCAAGTTGCCAAAAAATGGTATAATAATTGAACTGCCAAATAGCAGATTAAGAAAATTAATGTACTTTGATGGTCTGTCCATGAAAGAAAAATGTACACAGACAAATTAAGAACACTTTACTGAGATCTGAGATTTAAACAATGGAACAACTGTTTTAACACTGTTAGAATAACCCCAACTGTTAAGTTTTTCTATGAGTGTATATGTATATATAAATTCATATACACACACATTATTTCCTACTAAAAAGACTGAGGCAGTTCTGCTATATACAGTTAGCTATAATATTCAAGATAAAACAGTTCCTACTCAAAAAATTACATAAACACACAAGATAAGTTCTTATCATAAATGCTATCATGAGGCTATCTAGTATAGCTCATATTTCCTGGTTGTAAGGCTCAAAACACAGGAATTCCACTCCGAGAGATAATTTCCCCTCAATCCCCACATACAAAGTGTAGTCTAAACAAACAAAATTTGAAAAGAAAGATATAAAAAGAACTCAATAGCAGGATTCTGACTACCTCTGGAGACCACATAGTATCATTACTCCCGATTGTCCTAAATCCAACAATCCAATATGCCCCAAGATGGAAATCTGGTATCGTAGGGAAAAGATTGGTTAGAAGTGTCAGAAAAGTTCATCATCTTAAATTTATACCATTTGCCTGTCACAAAGACATTTACTAAACAGAATTTTTGAGCCATTTGTAAAATTAAAGCGACTGATCAATTTGAATAGCAACCTTCATAATGAAGAAATTAGGACTCTAGGTATGAAAAGCACATTCCTTTTTTGTTAGTAAGTTCAAAGGAAACACTTTGATATATGCAGATAAAAACATGGCTAACAAGAAAGAGGGTAACCAGCAAGTACCACCTGGATACGTGTTGTCAGGAGGGGAGGAAGAATAAAATTCAGGTAATGAAAATAATGATTTAACAAAGTAAAGTATATGACAGGAAGAAAATGTTTGCTATGTCTAAGTATCAATGCCTTAGATCAGTAAGAAAAAAGTCATTCATTGTTCGTGTTCACAGACTAGGTATCTAAAGAGATACTTGGTAGAGAGGGGCTTGGAATGGAGGGGGCAAATTAGGAAATTGGAATGTTCAGATTTTAAAGCAAAGACTGTACATGAAGACATATTTTAAGTACAGTGAAGATTGTCTTGTATTACTTCATATCCCACCAAAAACCTACCCTACCCTCAGACCAAGACGGTATTTAATGCTGAACAAATGCTGAAAGTATTTACTAGTTAAAAAAGAAAAAAAGGGTATTAAAGGTATGTATGGGAAGCTTTTGGAAGAGGTAGAGAAACCAACTGGGTATATATTCTCTTTTATTTGATTTCAACTAGCAAGAGACTAAGAATGATGTTTGTTTGTTTTACCATCGAAGTCTTAGTCTTAAACTGACAAAGGCACAAATAAAGTGAAATTAAAATAATTTTAACAAAAGAGAAATCATGATAGTGTTCAAAAGACAGACAAATCAAGCAAAACTGAATGTGGTTTAAGGTAAAAAATACAACTAGATATTAAACAATTTGTAAAACCATACAAAGAAAATTTAGTTTTCAAGAAAATTAGGAAGATTTCCTTCTGGCAAAGTGACAGGTCCCCAGGAAAAAACATAACCTCTACAAGACCAAGCACAGCTCAAGGGTCAGGGCCCCATTCTAGTCATCTTTTTATAATTCAGTATCTATCACAGTGGCTGGCAAACAACAGACATCAATAAATGTTTATTGACTGAATGTATATCATAAGGTATAACCAGTATAATTGGTAGAGCTTAAATCTAATCAGGAAAGCTTCTTTAAGAAGAAAAGAGCACAATCAATGGTATTCCAGAAGGTAGGCATAATTCCAGTTATATTTTCTAATCTCAACCAGTGGTTATAAAGACTTTGAGTTTCTTTTTAAAGCAATGAAACTCTTTCCAAAAGAAATCTCATGCAGTATATTTCAATACAGAATAAAAGTGCCACTGGTTATACCAAAATCAGTGGGAACCCCAAAAGCCTCCCCTAAACCAGCCCCCAAGGTGTCCCTGTGAAACCTACTGGAAAAACTACTACTCATCTTAGAAATCTGATAGAAAGCACGGGCATTCAATTCTCAGGTCATCAAACCTAGAAAATTACCAGTATTGTGGAGAATAAATCCTAAATAATGTTGCTAATTTAAATAAAGATAAAATTCAACAAAGAGAGCATTCTATCACTTACAAAAATGAAAACCACACCTATAAATGAGGGGCAGGGGGCAGAAATCAATAAAAATTAGGCCACAGTAGACAAAACGCAAAAAAATCATCTCATTAAAAAGCATCATGTTCACACAAATGTAATTATGACCATGAAGTAAACTGCTCAATAGGTATAACTGCTCAACAGGTGTTTTCAAAGAGTTGAGTCCCAATTTCATACTGCTCAGAAAAATCACACCAGAACTGTAGAGATGTGCTCCACTATTGAAACAGCACAGTAGGCACTGCTTCACTTAACACAGTAATGCAAGAGTAACCACCAAGACCAGAACCTTCTAACACTTTCAGAGTTGTTTTCTGCCCCTAGAACTGTTGCCTAACACCACTGCAAGCTCTCAAGTAAGTAAAAGGGCAGAGGCTCCAATGAGTATCTCCCACAGGCCTGACAGCGGTAATACCTAGGACATTTACTCTGCTCACAAGATGGGTAGTAGAAGACATAATTACCGGGCAGCACGAAGTCTGGAAGCAAGCAGCTGGGCACTATAACGGTGAGAGTTTATACAAGAAAGGGTTGTTAAGTAGTACTGAGGTGGTGCAAATAAAATTTTTACAGCAAAGGTTGAGGAAGAAGATACATTAGTGAGAATAACATGAAGCAGACTATCACAAAATAAGGCTACCTTGAAAATATCATAAACTGTAGAACCATTCTGATCTTCAAGTTTGGATTTGTATAGTTTTCTGTATAAAGCATTAATACCTAATCATGAGTTTCCTTTAGTGTGAGCCTTTTTGCATTTGATGCTATTCTCTTTGCCAGGAATGATTATCTTCCCTGGCTCATCACTTGGCTTGCTTCTTTAATGTCAGGTATTAGCTCATGAATCGTTTCCTTAGAGACTTTCCTTGATGTCCTACCTGAAGCATCCCTCTGTTATTCTCCAGTTCAAGTACCCTGTTTATCTCCTTCAAAGACAAGTAAGATGATTAAGGATTAGTGTAACTGCTGTCTCAGCAAAGGCAGGAACTGTAGCTGTCTTGTTCACCTTTAACCAAAGACTAAGAAAGTTCCTGGTACAAACAGGTGAACAATAAATATCTGTTGAATGAATAAAAAATTACTGTACCAAATTTACATGAACACATACATATACACACAAATACAGGAAAATGGGGAGTATCCAATAGAAAACTACCAAATGTTGAAAGTATCGAAAATGATACCTGTAGAGACAGGTTGAGTATGATTTCAAAGAACAAGTACCAAAGATAGCTTCAAATATATGAAAATTTATGAAAAGACGACCAGGAGTGGTTATTTTCCATTTCTACTAAGATGCAAACAAGAAGAAATCTTTAAACTGCAATGAGTCAACATTAGACATAATAATAATTTGCTGCAGAATGAACTGCCAACAGAGTTTTGGAAATCTGCTCTCACTACAGAGTATGAAATATGCTCAACCACAAACTGAGGATCAGTTAAGAACAGCTCAGACTGCAGGTAACTGAGAAGCTAAAAAACTTGCTAAAGAAATGGCTTTTCCCCCAATTTTTAAAATTCTGAATTCATAATTACAGGTAGAATAACAATCAATTTACAAATTGAATACAACATACTTTAAAAACAGATGGCCCATATCTGCTGATCGTACCTCAGCATCGCTTTTCTAGGTATTATGCAGAAACAATTACATCTACAAAAGGTCCATTTCATAATACAATCTGGTAACTAAATCAAATGAAACTACTTGAAGACCAGAAGGTCTGCTGTTGAAATATTTTAAAATACCTTTTGAAAAAGGGTTATTTATAGATTAGCTTTTTTAAAAAGGGAAAAATATGTGGAAGTGATTCTAGCATATCCCTGAAAATAATTACATTGCCACCTATGTATTTTTTATAGGTGTAAGGTTAAATCAACAGACTGCTAGGTTATACAAGCTAATTATTCCTGTTGAAAATTGGGTGTAAGACAAAGGGACTTTCTCCATATGAATTTTTCCTGTACCCCAGAATTAACTGGTGCCAGCAGTATCAGTGCAACTATTACTGGTGAAGAGGTCATGCTATGCTGTTTTGATTATCAGGACAAAAATGGGAATGGAGAAAAGAGGCCTGAAAAGATTTTCAGTATGGTTTCCTTATAGTAAGATTTAGCAGGAAAAAAACAACAACAAAACAACAAAAAAATCCCACACACAAAAAAAGAATGACTGTTTAAGCCCCAATGAACACATTAAGGATAAGAATTTCAAAGTTAATCCACTTTTCTTCCCCCAAGAGTTTATTTTTGGTAAAAGGCAGAAAAATTAGTTTTTCTACAAGGAAAATCTGCTTCTAAATAATTTGAAAATCTTGATATATATTATATATTAAAAAAGACACACAAAAATAACAGAGAAGTGGAAATAACAGATTAGGTACTGTAACTTTATAAAGGTTTGCCTAGATCAAGAAGCAGCGCACACACACCTCATCTATGCAAACTAAAAATGTATATAAACAGCACAATACTGTGATACTGGATCATGATACATTACCTGTACACATAACTACTACTGTTATTAATAAACCTTTGGGACACTCAGTTTTATGCCCAATAAGACATCACTAAGTCTTTAAAATCTTCTCTTCCTCTTTTATGGGAGAGTATTTCTAGACACTAATTTTCCCATCTAATATTCAAATATAGGAAACAGATTCCACAAGGTGCTTTAATTGATGAGACCTCAAGTGCTGTTTTCTCTCTTGAACTTTTGGATAGTAAACAGTCCATGGGGACCACACACAATACTATGACAGAAGAGTTGTTACATTAAGTCTTTTGATGGAAACTGATTGGTGATGAAGCTTTATGACATGCTTGAGCAACGCACTGAAGGGGATCCCATCTGAGTTAATACTTTGTCCAACCACTGAAGAGGTCCATTCAGATGAAGTTCAATCCAGCAAGGAGTACTTGTTACCGTCTGCCTTCTGTTTAAAAGAATATAGGAAAATGATTACAAATTAAAGTCCACAAGCAGGGAAAATGGCTGTTTATGTTCACTGCATTAAAAATTTACAGAAATTAAAAGGTTGAGTATATAATTTTGGACACATGATTGTTTTGAAAAACGGTTGATCCAGAGTCAAAGTACTTCTGATGACCTTGTTTTAAAAGTGATTTACAAGAACATCTTTTTCTCATCAAACTAAAATTAATAAGGTGATCTTATTATTCACCATCATCCCAAACTGAACACCTGAGAGAGACTGTAGGTATTATTAGTAATCAGGCCAGGGCTGAGTGCAGTGGCTCACACCTGTAATCTCAGCACTTTGGGAGGCTGAGGTGGGCGGATCATGAGGTCAAGAGATCGAGACCATCCTGGCTAACATGGTGAAACCCAATCTCTACTAAAAATACAAAAATTAGTTGGGGTGGTGGCAGGCGCCTGTAGTCCTAGCTACTTGGGAGGCTGAGGCAGGAGAATCGCTCGAACCCAGGAGGTGGATGTTGCAGTGGGCCAAGATCACACCACTGCATTCTAGCCTGGCAAGAGAGCGAGACTCTGTCCCAACAAATAAATAAATAAATAAAAATAAATAAATAAATAAATCAAGCCAGAAGGAGAGACATGAATCAGGATTCTCCCAAGCAAACCAAGACATACCTACAGTCACTGTATGTAACAAATCAACTACAGAATCGTAGATACTCAAATAATCAAATGGAGTCTAAATAAAAGTATATCAAAACAAAAACAAAATCCTGGCCCAAGCTAAACCCTTACCACAGAGAGTGTTAAAAGCTGAAGTTTAACTTTCCCTGACAAAGCCAATGAACATCCCTCTTAGCAACACCATTCGGGCTTTTAATAGTGCTTCAACAAAAGGGGCAACTCTATGGGAATTACAAATTATTCAATGATATCCTGTCCCTTCCATGCACTGATTTTAGTTCCATCTTATCCGCTATACAGCATAAGTCAATAAACCCACTTGCTTCTATAGACTAACAGCCCTTCAATTATGAGAAAAGCCCATTATTAACTGTTCATCTCCAAGTGACACAGGTTCAATATAATTTAAAAATGTACTCCCAAGAATGTCATTTTCTGAGGCAGATGGTATCAGTACCACACCATACCCTTCAGATTTTTCAGTGTGCTCTCGGCAACTTCCAGCTGCAGGTATCTGCATTTCTGTCCCCAGGAACTTCTCTGATATATCCAGAGAAGCAGGCTAGAAGTACCAGGAAATTAACATCTCCAGGAGCAGCCCTCAACCAAGGAAACAGAAATTGACATTTACATGCCCAGCAATTCTGTTCCCCTGGGTGGGATAATTCTGCACACTGTGTACTGTTTCCCTAAAGTTTCCCCAAGGGTGTCAGTTCTAGTGACCCACCCACTGTGGCAGATGGCTTAAAAATGGTCCTGGCTGCCCTTGTCTCCCCTGTCCAGCTTCCCTTTCAAGAATAATTCATAATCCAGGTCACGCAAAGGGAGTAGGTTTAAGAAGGCTGCCACTCAGATATATTTCTCAAATATGAATTCTTCATACATCTAAATTCCCTGTTTACTACATTTCCGAATTTTTATGCTATCAACCAAGATGGCATTAAAGAAATTAAAAAAAAATAGCTTTAGAAACCTGAACATTAGGTCTATTTCCTCAGCTCCAGAATGATTAATGATAAAAAGTTCCTGGTGGCTACCCACAAGTCCACAGATAAATGGGTATTTGCCATTTTGATTTGTAAGTGTTACAGGAAACGACTTGACTTTTCCAAAGTCAGATGTACCTGACTCCAAATATTCATAAAGACATACTGTATATTGCTGCTTCTGTAATTAAAGATTTTACTTTATATCTTAAAGAACAGCAGAGTCCACAGTCAATGAAGGGTAGTATCTTGACCAATTAAAACTGTTCTTAGAAGATTTATAGATACACATTTAATTCTCTCTGCAGTTCACTCTTACTTACACTAAATTCCTACCACATTTTGCATTATTCTAACCTTTGGAAGAAAAAGAAAAGTCTGACCTGAAAACTTATTATTAGACAATATAATTTAAATCCAATTTTGCTGTCAACTCAGGTCAAGTCTAAAGTTTTGAAAAATGGCATTCAGCATTCTTTACAGGTAACAACATCTCAAAAGGGTAATACTCAAAAGAGAACTACAGCAAAATCACAAAATGAATTATTCTACCAATACAGCTCAGGCAAAATAGTGACAAGTCTTGATTCTCAGACAGAAACATATAACATATTTTTTAAAAAGTATTCAACAAGTAGACCTCACATTGCACAATCTCAAAGCCAGATTTCTGACAAAACTTTAGACAAGCAAGTCCAAAAGAAATAAAATAAATTTGGAAGGCACCAAATTGCTGGAAGAAGCAGGAATACAATCACTATACTACATGAATATTTCTTAAGCAGGCGTACAAAGAGTAAGCAATACAAATTGAAGGAAGACTAAGTATTTTATTTAATTTCTACCTTTAACTATGGTAAAGAAGTCTTCCCTCTGATGTGAAATCCAATCTATAGCTTATCAATAATCTAGTCTGTCTTATCTAGTGATGGCAAATTAGTTTTTGTAAAACTTAAATATATAACTGAATAGGTTAAGAGTCCAGAAGAACTATCTTCCAGTCCCATCTCAACCAATTATAATGTAACCTTGGGCAAATTATTAGTTTTCTATGCCTATTTCCAAATATTTATTAGTTTGAACCATTTGTTACCTACAAGGACAGCAATTTCATTTATTTCAACCTTATAAAGATCTAATTAAGAGAGAGAGTAATTTTTAGATACTACACTTTAAACAGCACAGTGTCTGGCACATTAGCAAGTATCCCTTCTACTTCTGAATGAAGTTCCTCCTCTTAACCTACGTTTAGTTTGTCTCAACTTATTTGTCCAGCCTTATTTTTTCTATACTCCATACTGAATTGCTAATGCTATTGTCAAGATTATCACTTCTCAACTCTGCCCATCCCATTTATGACTAATGAAATCCAATACCCCTTTTACAACTAGATCATGTGCCATTGAAGCTTTCCTTGAGCACCATCTCTCCTTCCATAAACTGACATAATCCTTCATATACACCCCTTTTATGATACTTAACACTGTGTTATGTTAAAATGCATGCCTGTACATATTTTAATGATATCTTCAATAACGGCAGCCCAGTAATTTTCAACAGTTTTGAATTTGGAGGCCTCCAACTTTTTTACATAGAGATCAGCTGACACTATAACCTCAATGAAAATAAATACAAATGAACTCCAGAATATGCAAGACTAGAATGAAACACAATTACACTGTGGAAATTTAAGAAACGAATATGCATTTCATACCGGTATTCTGCTCCCCACCCTTTCACAAAACTCATTCTTATGGTGCACATTCTAGTTAGCTGATAGACGGCTTCAAAACCCTGATTAACAGACTGAGCCAGAAGAGCAGCAAATTCCTGGTTGTTGAAGATCTTCAGATTACAGCCTATGATTCAAAAAAGTACAAGAAACTGTCAAAAAAGAGTATCATTATTAAAAATAATTTTAAAAGGTTACATGTTTTAGAATATGAGCATGCAATCATCTCCCGATTCCTAAAATAAGCAACTAGAAAAACAAAGCAAGTTGACGTAATAGGTTTATTTACATTATTGAATCCATACCTGGTGGAATTTTACACACTGTTGCAGGGTGCCAGCCATATCTCTGATTACAATTGGGGCTCTGCACAAAGATTGCACTATCACTTAGGCACTCAGCAAAAACTTCCCCACCTATGTAATATAAGCGCACTCCTCTTCCTGAAACAAAATATGTAAGAGATTAGTTTTGCAACATTTACTATTTCAGTTTGACTTTGGAAGTATTTTCTTGGAAAAATTCTAAAATGATATAAGGTATTTCCAGGATCTTTTTCACAGATAAAGTCTTTCTGAAATCTAACTTTAAATATACTACGGTATATTTCTCTAAGTATTTTCTAACAATAATTTGATTGATTTTAAAATACATGCATATCAAAAGTATTTAAACAATGTAGAAAAAGTAGACAGTAAAATAGTTTCACACAAATGATATATATTATTTTAAAAGAAGTAAGATTGAGTTAACTTTGAAGGAATTCACTAATATTTGGAGAAATATATCTTCATTACAACTGTATTTTTTTTAAAGATGCCACTAAGGTTAAGAAAAATGATATCAAGAGATTAAGAGTCATTCACCATTTTAAAAACTATCTATTATGGTAGAAACCAAACCTCTAGATGTATAAGCATAATTAGGTGAGAAAAAATTCTACTGGGAGATTTTTAATATGTACTTCTTTCAGAACTTGACAGATCACAGATGCAAAATAACATGATATAAGGATATTTAAAAAACAATTGAGAGGCAGAGTTCTAACAGCACCTAAGAGTCTCAGCCTTGATATGCACATACATTCTGTTAATCAGACACTAGGTGCTGCTGTTCAGAAATTTCTCAGATGTAATTAAGGCAGCAGATCAGGTAATCTCAATAAAGGGAGGTTAACTTTGGTGGGCCTGACTTAATCAGGCAATCCTTTAAAAAGGACCAGACTGTCCTAGGCTAAAGTGATTCAAAGCATGAGAGGGATTCAACACAAAGGCATGCTCCACTGCTGACTTTGAAGAAGGATGGGACCGTATAGCAAGGAATTCAGGTGGCACCCAGGAGCTGAACTCTGCCACAACCATGTGGGCTTAAGAGGACCTCAAGCTCCAGGTAAGAACACAGGCCAGCTGACACCTCAATTTTTGCCTTGTTAAACCCTAAAAAGACCACCTAATCCATGTCTGGAATCCTGATCCACAGAAACTGTGAGATAAAAAACTGGTATTTTAGGCGACTGAGTTTGTGGTAATTTGTTTCACAGAAGAAAAAAAAAAACTGAAACTCATAAAACAACATGCCAGATTTAATAACTACAGAACCTGGTACCCTGGTTCTGTTAAGATTATGGAATATTTGTAGAACAGTCATGCGCATGGTCATTGGGAAAACATTAAGTCCAAAAAGTAGAGCTTTTTCAGGCTATATTCCCTGACCGAAATCAGCTGCAAAACTAGAAATCAAAAATGAAAAGATAACCTAATAATTACAGCAATCTAAAACTTTGGAGGGAGAAGTAAATAGAGCAGAGAAAACCGATTAAATTTTTTTTGCAGACCCTCAATTAAGACAGAAGAACAAAAAACTCTTAAAGCACCTACAGTGACACCTGGGTATCTGGTATCTTAACAAGCTCATCCAAATTTATACATCAAGCAAGATTCGAGAACTTCCACATGGAACCAAGTAATAGATCTAGTCACTATCATTTTGCAGTATCAAAATCACCTTTTGGTAACCAGCATTACATCTCACAGATGATGGTTAATTAGAAGAAAAAAAAAACAGAAGCAAACTATTGTTAAACGAAGTTACTGTAAGGTGGTAAGAATGGTGTTCAATTATTAGTGGCTCTCATACTTTTTCACTTCATTGTTAAGGAAATACTGAAGACCCCCAGAGTTTTTGTTTATGTGAATATTATGAAAAATGGCCAATTAGATATAAAAACTGAGATTTTTAAAAATTCATTTAAAAATCACACAATAAATCCATTACGTATTAACACAACGTTTATGAAACTGTTTCCAAAGCAAAAAAAGAGTAGCGACATTTCACATTTTTGCAAATCTCTTTAATGTCTAGTATAACAAAGTTGGAGTCTCATTACCAAATCTACATTTCATCTCTTGCAAAATCATATGCATATAGGCCCTGGAATATTCCACTGTGTACTCATGAGAGAATGAAAGTAAAAATGGTAAACAGCATCTCAGTACTACTATGAAAATAGCTTTTTTTTTTGAGATGGAGGCTCACTCTGCAGCCCAGTTGGAATGCAGTGGTGCCATCTTGGCTCACTGCAACCTTCACCTCTGGGGCTCAAGCAATTCTCATGACTCAGCCTCCCAAGTAGCTGGGACTAGAGGCACACACCACCAAACCTGGTTAAATTTTTTTTTTTTTTTTAAAGTAGAGATGGGGTTTCACCATGTTGCCCTGGGGTGGTCTCAAACTCCTGAGCACTGGTGATCCACCCGCCTTGGAAAAATAACTTTGACCTCAAAAACTAGCTGAAAGGGTTTCTGGGACTACCAGAAGTCCCCAGATCACATTTCGAGATCTCCCTGAATTACATTTTCAACTATATTAAATGACATTGCTTGTTTCAGAGATCTCATTTCAGATGAATAGCAAGCAAAGCAGATTTGATTTAATACATGAGTTCACCAAAGGGGGAAAAAAACCCCAGGAGATACATAAAGAAACTGGGGAAAAAAAAAAAAAAAAAGATTTACAAAAACGTATTAACACCAAAATCTGAACATCACAATTTTATGACTGGTAGAGATTCAGCAAATTAAACTTATCTTAACACATATTTATTAAAGAACTTTCCAGTATCAAGGATGCCAAATAAAAGTTGTAGAGTTTGCAGCTGAAGAATCACCAGGATCGATTAGAGGCAGTGAAGCCTGTGCACTTAAATATGCTGGCACTTAAACTTCCAGAGAGAGTCCCGGTTTTACTGCACAGAAGCTCTTCATGTGGCACACCATGCAGTATCTACATTATGAGTATACAGCACTGGTTCTTCACAACAAGGGAAATGAAACATACCTATGTGCCTTCTTGTCATTTCTACTGTGGCATTTCGGTTAACATTGGAGAGTAAACCTAAGCAGAACCTCTCTGAATTTGATGGGTCTGTAAAGCCATCTACAGTGAGTGAGGGCTGTGATGCATGGAAGGTTTCTCCAACCCTCTGATTTAATTCGTAATACGCTATTGAACACCAAAATGCAGGTTCTGAGTAAGTAACTGGCTGTAAATCTGAAAAAGAAAATAAGAAAAAGAAAAAGAAAATGTGTGAACAATTTAAGCCAATAATGGATTGCATACAATCATCTTTACATGCTCTATGCAAGCATGCATTGGCAAAAGCTCAGAAGTAGACATACATCCGTATCAGTTTCCATAGATCATACTAGATTCTCAGTATTTTTCACTCAAAACTCCAGTCTCATAGATCATACCAGATTTTTTCCAATTTCTCCCATGTCATTAAATCACTTTATGTTGGATTATTTGTTTTACCAGTAGTTTTAGTCTAGCTACTGTTCAACCACAAAACAATCACAAAGTCAACTTGCCATACTTGATACATTTCTAAAGCACATAAAAAAACTAATGTGAGGTAAGATAAAGCTGGAGCAAAGACGAGTCAAAAGCCACACAAAGAAAACATTCATGATAAAAGTATACAAAATATGACATTTTTGACATTTGTCTATTTTAACATCAAATTTTTGGTGAGATACCCTAGCTACAAAAATAGAGAACCCATTCATACATAAGAACTGGAAAGCATCAAGCAAGTGGAAACAGACCATAGAGTCAAGAGACTACTTTTTTCACTGGAAAACTATATATTTAGCTGCTGCAATTTTGACTAAAACATATTGTTAAGAAACATTACAAAAGAAAAAACTTAACAATTTTGTAGAATAAATTCCAAACATGTAACAACCAAAGAGAAATAGTGAAACAGCAGGATAAAATGATGGCAAAAATAGTAACAGTAATACAGAAATGTATATATAGTCATCCTTTGGTATTTACAGGGTATGGTTCCGGGACTGCCCCCCGCCCTGCTATCCAACTAAAAACCCTAAGATACTCATGTCCCTGACATAAAATCGCGTAGTATTTGCATGTAACGTATATTCACATCATCCTTATACTTTAAATCATTTCTAGATTATTTATAGTATCTAACAATGTAAATGCTACATAGTTGTTATACTGTATTTTAAAATTTGGGCCAGGCATGGTGGCTCACACCAGCACTTTAAGAGGCCAAGGCGGGTGGATCGTTTGAGGCCAGGAGTTTGAGACCAGCCTGGCCAACATGGTGAAACTCTCTCTCTACTAAAAATACAAAAATTAGCTGGGTGTGGTGGCATGCACCTGTAGTCCCAGCTACTCAGGAGGCTGAGGCAGGAGAATTGTTTGAACCCAGGAGGCAGAGGTTGGAGTCAGCCGAGATCATGCCACTGCATTCCAGCATGGGTGACAAAGCGAGATCTGTCTCAAAAAATATGTGTTAGCTTTTATTGTTATTTTCATTTTCTCCTATTTGCAATCTGCAGTTGGTTGAATCTGGAGATGCTGAACTCATGGTTATGAAGGGACTGAACACATACACATTTGTACATATACACACACACTCTCATTTATATCCCCATACACGTGTATATATATTTATGTCAATGGGTATATATGTACTGCACATCTTTTATTGCTACAAGACATCATAAAATAAACATAACCATAAAAATCTAGCCATAATACGTTATATGATTTTCTATGAGGAATATGATTTCAATAATAAAAAGATCAAACCCATTTCTTTTTCCAGCAGAAAAGACTTTTAATAATATTGAGGGATGATATCAGTATTCTTTTTTAAAAGCATCATTGTAAACCACATACATAATTATTTGATTATTCCTTAGGATTTCTTTCTCATATACATATATATAAACTTCTAGAGAGGATTTTTATTATTAAGCAGATGATACAGTATAAATATGATGAGGGGAACGTATTTGCAACTTACCCAAGCTATGATTAACAGGGGAAAGAGTAGTAGGAGACAGTTCTGCTGGAGAGCCTAAAACAAAAGGATTTAATTTAAAAATAAATGAAATATTTCCAGAACTTCTGATCAAGTAATCATAAAACTAGCTGTATCTGGTTATAATTATCAACAATAATACAAAGATAATTTAAATACTAAGAATTCAGAATATGTAAGTGCTTACATTTAATTGGGTGGGGAAGAAAGGGGGCTCCTGTATAAAAGGTACAAAAGGGTACAGTTTTGGCTTTTAGCCTACCAGTTCATCTTCCCAAAGGTATCTAATGTTGACAGTTCCTTGGGTATCTTTCCAAAATATTCTATGAACCACACAAGCAGATATATTTTTGTTCTGTGCCTTTTCTTTTCACACACAAGTGGTAATAGTTTATTCTCAAATTGTTCACGATGTGTTTCCTTATTTGTCTGTCTATGTTAATTAGTCACATAAGATTGGGATCCCATATTGATGAATATTCAGGCTATTTTTTTATCTTTTGCTATAAGAACCAGTGTCATAAGATCACAATAACTAATCGTGACCACTTTGCATGTTTCCAATCACATCTGAAGGATAGACTCCTAAAAAAGAAACTGCCAGGTTGAAAGGTTTGTGCCATGTGCAATTTTGATAAATTTAGGTAAAATTATCATGCATCAAGGTTGCACCAGTTTACATGACGAGTCACAACATAGTAAAGTGATACCTGTGGTGCTACTGCTTATAGATGAAGACATGGTTGCAAGTACAGTTTTAATTTTGAGTGGCTTTACACGTTTATATTGTGTTTCCTTTCTCTATAGTCTGTTCTTTTCTTTTTGCGATGTTGATCATTTTCTTACTGATTGTTTGGAAGCTCTTTATATACATTAGGGATAGAAGTCTTTTTACAGTATGAGTTACAAATATTTGGTCACTGGTTTTATGACTCTTAATCCTCATTTTGATCATGCAGCACTAAAAAAACCCTTCTACATGATTTATCAATCATCTTTGGGTTAGTGTCACACTTTGGGATGAAACAGTGATGACAGTGGATGTTATCTTACTCTGGACTTTTAGGGTAATGTTTCTACCATTTTTCCAATTAAGCATGGCATTGGCTTTGAGGCTGACAGCAATAAAATACTTATTTAGGAGTTTTGCATCAATAGTCTCAAGCAGTATGAGCCTAATTTTACATGAGTGCTATGTTTGTAAGGCTCTGTGGTCAATGTTATGACAATCTAGCAACTTTATCTTCTGTAAAGGTTCAAATAGCATTGTAACAGTATATTCTTTAAAAGTTTGGTAGAATTCTTCTGTGAAATTATTTATAGTTAGTAAAGTTATAGGGTTTACTATGGGACATTATTCTATGAAGGGTGACTTGTTCTGATCAATTTTCTAGAGTCAGTCTTGGTAAACTGCACCTTCTTAGAAAACGATCCGTTTCTTCTTTTGAGTAAACAGGCTAAGTCTACTCAAGAAAATAAGGGGGTACAAGTACACAAAGTAAGAACCACCACAGACAACAGATGAAGAATCATGGCGCAACTACTCTGTTCAATTCCATGCAACTCAATTTTAAAACACATTGGCTGTAAACATTGTTAAATAATCGTATTAAAAATATAAAAATATATTTTATGAACATCATTCTCTGTATGTTTAGGGAAAGTTATCTAAAAGAGCATGACCCAAGTTTCAAAGGTATGCCAAGAACATAAATGTAGAATAAGATAGGTCAGGCCAGGCATGGTGGCTCACACCTGCAATCCCAGAACTTTGGGAGACTGAGGGAGACGGATCATGAGGTCAGTAATTCAAGAACAGCCTGGCCAACACAGTGAAACCCTGTCTCTACTGAAAACACAAAACTTAGCAGGGTGTGGTGGTGAACACCTGTAATCCCAGCTACCTGGGAGGCTGAGGCAGAAGTATCACTTGAACCCAGGAGGCAGAGATGCAGTAGGCTGAGATCGTGCCACTGCACTCCAGCCTGGGCGAGAATGAGACTCCGTCTCAAAAAAAAAAAAAAGAATAAGATAGGTCAGACTGCCTTACATACCTCCTCCCTACCACACACCATTATGACCGTGACACAAAATACCAGGCAATAAAGGTGAAATGGCAGCCCGTAAATAAATGAATCAGAAATAGAGAAAAAAGGCTTACTTTTTAGAAGACAGAACAGTCTTCCACAACACAATTAAGTTATGTTCATTTTTTATTTCTCAGTTTGAAAAATCTGCTAGCAAGTCACAACAGGTATAACTATGAAAGGTCAAAATATATTTAGAACAATGAGCTAAAATTCACTGCTGTTTCCTGAAGCCAACATAAAATAAACAAAGCCACTATTAGAAATGGAGGAAACTGCCCAATTATTCATATCTTTTAACTGTTTACTCGTCTATTAAATACTTAGAAATGACCAGTAGGATCACTTAACTAATAGGCGTTCCGTGAGATGTGACAAGCTAGAATTACAGATTATAAAAAAAAAAAACAAATGTTAAAACTTGAAATAAGCTAATAGAAGCCTTTTTTTAAAAAAAAATTTTTTCTGAAAAACAACAGAGGCAAGGAACTGATAATTAGCTATGAATTATTCATACATAAATGCTGCTACTGAAGTTTCGCCTACCACAGGCCTTCCACTTAGGAGAGGTAATATTATAAATATCCTATTTGAGAGCCAGTGTGAATATTAGCAGTATCTACTTACAGCTAAACCACCTAGAGAAATCCTTGTGCATGTATCTTTATATACAAGTTTACATATATTTGTAGAACACATTTGTCAAACCTTTGTTTGACAAATTAACAAATATCAAATGAAATGTGTTAAACTTTTGTTAAGTGCCAAAATACCCTCTCAAAAATATTTCATCTTATCAAGAATTTATAAGCTAGTGTTTCACATTGTGTCACTGCATGTTGACACCTGCCGATATAATAGGTTTAAGGGGAGCAACTTTTTATTGTTGTTGAAATAGTGTATTTCTGTTCTTCTAGCCAATTCTATTTATTTTTTTCTTGATATGTAAATTTTCAAACTTAAAAATCAGTTTTAGACTTGTCATCTGTTTGCAAATATTCACCCAGGTTTTTTTTTTTAAATCTGTTATCTTTTAAGGGGACATTAATTTTTAATTATAGACCATGTTTTTAAAGAGTATTTTCAAGATAACACCAAAACTGAACAGAAAGTACAAAGAGCTCCCATATGACCCCTGGCCTGCTTCCCCAAGTTCCCCATCGACACCCGCACACCACAATGGTCCATTTGTTATAATAATGAACCTATACAGACAAATCGTTATCACTGAAAGTCCATAATTTACATTAGGGCTCACTATGTTAACAAATTCTCTGGGTTTTGACAAACGAATAATGACGTGTATCCATTTATAGTACCAAGTAGAGTAGTTTCACTGCCCTAAAAATGCCATGTGCTCCATCTAGTCTTCCTTCCCTCCCACACAGTCTCAGTAACCACTAATCTTTCTGTCTGCATAGTTCTGCCTTCTCCAGAATGTCACATATAGTAAGTCCTCATTTAACATCTTCCATACATTTTTGATGACTTTTAAAGCAAAATAATTGTACAACAAAACCAACTTTCCACAATCATTATAACAAAATGACATTACTTGAAGACATGTTGTACATTACTTGGATGTATCAGTTTATTTACTCAGTCACCTATTAAAGACATCTTGGTCGCTTCCAAGTTTGCTAATTTTAGAAAAAAACTGCTATGAACATCTATCTGCAGGTTTTTGTGTAGACCTAAGTTTTCAATTCATTTGGGTGAACACCAAGGCGAAGCAAGACTGCTAATCCATACATACAGTAAAAATATGGTTAGTTTTATAAGAAATCACCAAACTGTCTTCCAAAGTGGTTATACCATTTTTCATTCTAACCAGCAATAAATGAGTGTGCCTGTTACTTCCCATCCTCACCACACCAGCACTAATGAACTCCCTCGGCTTTTGTTTGAGAAATTTTTTATTTCTCTTTCATTTCTGGAAGACAGCCTTACTGGTTATAGTATTCTTGGTTGGCAAGCGTACTTTCTTTTTTAGATGAGGCCTCACTCTGTCACCCATGTTAGAGTGAAGGGCAGTAGCACGATCTTGGCTCAGTACAATCCCTGCCTCCTAGGCCCAAGCAATTCTCCCACCTTAGCCTCCTGAGCAGCTGGGACCACAGGTGTGTACCACCATACCCAGCTAATTTCAGTTTTGTTTTTAATTATTTCAGCCCTTTAAATACACCACCCATCTCTCCTGGTCTGCAAACTTTCTGCTGAGAAATCTGATTGTCTAATGAAGACTCCCTTATTATGTGGCATATTGCTTTTTCTCTTGCTGCTTTTATTCACAATAGCAAAGATACAGAAAACAACCCAAGTGTCCCATCAACGGATGAATGAATAAAGAAACAGTGGGTTACACACACAACTGAATGTTATTCAGCTTTAAAAAGAGATATCCTACCACTTTTGGCATGGATGAATCTGGAAGACATTATGCTAAGGGAAATAAGGTGGACACAGAAAGAAACATGGCATAATCTCCTATGTGGGGTTTTTTGGTTAACCAAACACATAGAAACACAATAAAATGGCGATTACAGGTTGGGGGGAAACAGGAGGATTATAGGTCAAAGGGTATAAAGTTGTACATATGTAAGATAAGCCTAGATATCTAATGTACAACCTGAGGACTACAGTTGCAATATTGTGTTGTACACTGGAAATTTACTGACTTGATTTTAGGTGCCTTTATCACACACATAAAGAGGTGACTATGTGAGATGACGGATTTAGTTTACTATTGTAATCATTTCACTACATACACCAAACATCATGTTATATACCTTAAAAATATACAATAAAAATGTATGCTTTAAAAAGTCTCATTTACTAAAATACAGACCTAAGTGTTCACAAACCTTCCAGCAAACTGGGAATCATCCTGGATTGGTCTTTCGACCTTATCCCAAAAATGCTCACTAATTATATTCTAAACCTCAGGAA